TCTTCCTCCCACTGTGGGAATTAGCTTAATATTCTCTCCTTCTTTGGAGATACTCTTTCCCAAAGGCATTTGCACTTTCAAAGAGATCATTAAGATAGAAGCCGAAACAATGAAGTCCTACTGGTAGACTTTCAGACAGTAGACAATCAAAAAATATTTAGAAATCTGTGTTTTTCCCTCAATTTTCTACTAGGTAAAAGTCAACACACTGTCTACAGGCGAATGAGGTCTGCCCCATAGGGACCAAAGATGAGCTAGATATTATGGGTGTAGTGTCTATAAAATTATTAAGCAGGTGTACCTAGTGATGGTATCTGAGAGTAAGAAAGTGCTTGTCAAATTGTGAGCTCAGATTTCAGTTTAATGTTTGGGAAAGGAAAAGAATTTGCAGAACTAGATCTTCCCAGCAGAGGGCACACCTAAGCTACAAATCATGATTTTTAAGCAAAGTTTTTAAAAATTTTTATTTTTATGATTTTATGAAAAGTTTTTATGCTTTATGTTTCTTTCAAGATTAAGTTGCCAATCTGTATTTTTTAAATATGCCATTTATTTCTAATTGTTGCACATGTTTGTCAGAGATGGAAGAATCCGGGATTACTGATTATGTGAGCAAAGGACCACCCTGCCAGTTTAGGAGAGGAGAAACTGGTTACACGAATTCACTTTGCTGGACCTTGTGGGGGAAGGCTGTGGCTTCTCCAGAGGGCATTTTCTTTGCTGACTTCGTGCACCCGGCCTACCAATTCACAGATGCAGTTCCTGAGGCAAATCCATGGGACACTAAAACAAAAAGCATATGATTTATTATTACTCTGGTAACAATGTCCTTATCTAGGGATTAGATGGCTGGGACCCCCTCCCCATTGTGACAGGAACAGCCAGCAGGTATCAGAATCCTGTGTCTTGCTCTCACCTCACAGAGGCTGCGACTCCTCACTGTCCAGTCTGCTTTAAAAACCCTCAAGTCTGGTCCCAGAGGCATCTTCTCCTGCCTGAGGTCCCTTCTGAAAGGCTGAAGCCAGTTGGCCCCTTTCAGAAATCTTCAGGATACTTTCATTTATAGTTTCTAAAATAAAAATTTGACACCATCTCTTTAAATGTTGACAAGACATAGAAGCCTTTATTTTCAAATTTTTAACTTCCATAAACACAAATTAAGACATCCCCCCAAATAACAACATGCTAACTCTATCTCCGTCCCAGATGAGAGTTGGTGATCTTTTGTGAGATGTCACTCTGGACTTGTTTCAGGGGTTGTAGGAGGGGGATGGGGAGGTAGAAAGGACTTTGAACAGTGTTTAGGAATTCAAATGTGTTCCTGAGTAAAGGGGTTTCTGTAACTATGATTCTGACGTTGCATTATAAAAGTAATCTCATTTTTTAAAGGCGTAGAGCTGTATATTGATTATTTTACCATCTGTTTAAAAGAAGAATGTTTCTGGGTTTGTATACGAACAAAATATTTCCAGATAGATAAAGGGAACCCCTCACTCCAAGTTCTGGAGGAAGATGCATACACATGTATACAATTTTGTGAGTGCGTTGTAGGGGAAAGGAGGAGCCCTGGGTGTGTAGTTTAAAAACCTGCTGGCTCTGTGAATCACCTGACCCTTCTTTGTCTCATCTGGAAAATCCAGAAGCAAGAATATACTCTCTAAAAGTAAAGGCCATCCATAGTGGGATGTTGGTGACAACCTATGCTGGGACTCTCTAGGGTATGGCCATCTGCGACCCTTGGCCATGTGATTGATCTTGGTGGGGTTTGATCATGAATGAACTATTGGATCTAGAGGAGGACACAGGTCCTGGTGCAGGTCCAGCTTCCTCACAGCAGCCCTATTTACTACTTTCTTACATTCATTCTTTATTATAGCCAAACTGGTCTGTGCCCTGGGGGCTTTGCTTTTCCTCTTCCCCCATCTGCAAGCTCCCTGCCCTCTCCTTGCCACTTGGAAGTTTCTCCAACTGCTGAGGGCCCCAAAAGCATTTGATAATCATTTTTATCTCTACACTCCAAGAGCAGTTATTTTGGCCTTTAGCATATTTCACCATGTTTATCTGAGTATCTAAGAAGATAAAGACTTACTCTTTTAAGTGTCTTATGTCCATTTTTATATGCCTACCCAGAGTTATAATGGATAGTTACTGTCTTGCTATTTATATTTGAATAATTGTTTTATCAAGTTCTCTCTCAGCCATTTTTCCCTAAATGTATTTGTTCTAACCTCTTCTGTTAGGCTTGATATAAACTCAGTGTCTGTCTGTCTCTTGCCGTCACACTGAACATTGAGTGGTATAAGGAAATGGTTTGAATTTCTTTTCTCTTTGTCCAAGTCTTTTCCTCTAATGCAGATGATAATTAGCAGTGGAATGGTTAGAAATAATGATAATGGCTTGCTGTCATTATTGGCTAAATGCCTGTTTTGTGTTAGACACCATTCAAAGCAGTTTACATGTATTAATTCATTAATTCTCATGATAGCCTGACACATGTACATTTATTATTCTGTTTTAGTTACAGAAACACAGAAACAGAGAAGTAACTTATCAGAGGCTGCACACTGGAAGATTGCAGACTCAGAATTTAAATTCAGTGGACTCTACCCACGGCATTATCCTGCTCCTTGAAAGATAGGTAGCGGTGGAAAGGAGTGGAAGCAACTGTCCTGGATAAACACATGTTTGTCCTCAATACCCAGAACATCTTTCAGAATATTTGAGAAATATTGGGCACTGAGATTAGGGAAGCAGAGCCAAAAGAAAGTGGAGGATTACATAATTGTTTTGTGAATTTATAAGCTTGAGAAAGCCAATCAAGATAATTAAGTCATGGTCGTTTTTTGTACTTGATTATGTAAGTTTTTACTAGGAAGCCTAGCAATAATAAAGCCCTAATTAATGTTTTTGAGAGCCAAGCATTGATCTTCTGGGAATGTCTGCATATTTTGCTTCTGCTTATAATAAAAACTAAATTAAAAGTTCTGTGATTTTTATTTCCATTGAGTAGGCAGAAAAGGTATTGATTCATTGACAGTGCTGTCTTATTGGCACGTACCTATGCACTTTTTCACTCATTAAGATATGATACCTTATGCTGTGTTATTTTGGCCAGTGGGAAAAGATACACAGTGAGATTTCCTATGCAAAAAGTGAACATTTCAACTCTGCAAGTTTCATATCCCTTTATTAGCATTCCAGAGACTTATCCTCTCAACTTGACTTCTGCATGATAACTTTCCAAGAAAAGCAGTTTTCTGATCTGTGGAGCTTGGAAATATAAAGAAATAAGCAATTTCTGATACTTATTAATCAGATTCCAACTTTCTTAAAAATTCACTGTGAAACTGAACTCCATTAGGGCACTAGTTGTCAGACTTCGGGGTGCCTAGGAATCACCTGAGGAGCTTATTAAAATGCAGGTTCCTAGGCCCCATCCTCAGAGACCAGTTTACCCCCCCCCAGATGATTCTGATGTAGATGTCCTCAGGGTACCAGAATAAGACAGAGGAAGGGACGTGGAGTGGGGAGCACAGAAACTCAATACTCTGGAGGCCCAGGAGACCAAGGTACAGAAGTGCCAGAGAGCAGATGGGCTTTTCATTGGGGGCTATTCAGGGAGCTGCTGGAAGTCTGATTGGCCTCCAGGTAATAGAAGACTTCAGCCTTTCTATTAGGTCCCACATAGGATCCATTCTTGCTGGCTTTTTAGGTAATAGATGACTATTCAAATCCAGCTTGCACGTGTGGTAAAGAACCACTGATCTCCTGTGCAACCATATTCTCATGGTTTGGGGGAGAAAGAAGAAAGAACTCAGTCTACAGATGGCTGAGTACTCACTGTGAGCAGCTAAGTGGGGCGAAGTCAGGAGGCAGAGCTGGAGGGGAAAGGGATTGAAATCTTAGCTGCACACTAAGAGGGGGACAGGAAAGCTACTGCAAAGGGGGAAATAGTATTATGAAGGGTCCAGTAAGGAGAAATCAACCTCTTTTTTTTTTTCTTTTTGGAGGAATACTATAAGAACAGCTGAGAGTCTAAGAGTAGATTCCCAGGCCTAGATCTGCTGAGCCTTGGCCTGTGGATGTGGGAAGAACTGTTCTGCATAACTCAAGAGGTGGAATTATTTTGTTCCTGAAATAGAGGAGTAGCAAAAAAGCCAGTAGGAGGCGTCGTATCTGGGAGAAGGGTCAGAGAAAGCATCCCTCACTCCCAACACATACCCACACTGGACCCAACCGGGAGGCAGTGAACCAAGAAGGTAAAGAGAAACGCCTGGAGAGAATTCAGGTGGTTTCTGTGGAATGTGTGCTGTAAACCTTTTCCTCTATCTCAAGTGGAGAAATCAGTAAGTCTCTATATCTTGCCAGTACTTTTAACAAGAAGTTTCTTCTTTTCAGGGGAACTCATAGAGGAAAACGAGACAGTAGCAGCTTTGTGAGTTCCATATATGTGCTTTAAACATCAACTTAGATCCAGGAAGTAATTTGTTTCCCACCTATGTGTACTCTGCTACAATATTTCAAATATTCATACTCTGTAGATGTTGTGGATGATAAAATACGAAGGCATTTTTAAGAGTTTTGAATTCAGTAGATTTTGATGGCAGACTTTCTCAATCGCTTTTATGGTTGGATCTGAGGAATTTTTTGACTTAAAACAATGGGTTCCTCCTACATAAAAAGGGTAGAAACCACTGATCTAAAGCATCACAACTATGCCTTCGCATTGGCTACAAAGAGCTTAGTTCTCACCTAATGCAAAATACTGTACAGCATCTCTTTCTTGTGCCACTTACAGATTTTTAGAAAGAGGCAAGGTAAGCTACATTTTTATTTGACTTTCAGTTAAATATTAACACAATAAATATAGAGGGATATGTAAAAAACATGTTTACTTAAAAACTCAGAATGGCTATTTAATTATGTGAGAAAAAGTCTATCTGCTGCTTAGTAAGAACATGCAAATTCAGAGACATTGATTCCATTTTCTTTTTTTCCAGGCACTGTTATGTGGTCTACTTGTTACGTGTCCTGAGGATCCACTGAAATATTTAGAGGAAATGATCATGACTATAATTGAAAACGGTCTCGAAAGTGTTCTTTGGTAAGTATTGTTTTGATTTCTGATAGGGAGATATGTTATTTTTCAGATAAAATACTCATTGTATAGTACCAAAATGAGGTCTTGCCAATGAATGCTTGCAATCTCAAGATTGTTAAAGGAGCCTTCCATAAGGTTTTCAAGTCCCAAAGACTTAAATATGAATAATTTACCCGCTGGTTGTCAACTTGAGAAATAGAGTGTATTCTCATCAGTAACGTGGCAGTTTATTTCAAGTTGGGGATGAATACAGGGAGGCACACCCTTCTTGGGGACACAGCAAAATCTTGGACGGATAGTTTGAGAGTGTTCCAGGTGACTCTGATATGCCTCTCCCAAGGGGAAATGGCTCTTTCTTCCCTTCCCTTCCACTCCACCCACAAGAATGACTGATTTAATTATGAAACTGACTACAGTTGGGCGCTAAGTATACTTGGGTGTCATATCTGCAGATTTAGCCAACTGCAGGTGGAAAATATTCAGAAAAAAACAACCAAAAAATAACAATAAAAATAATCATACTAAAAAAATACAGCATATTAACTATTTACATAGCATTTACATCGTATTAGGTATTATAAGTAATCTAGAAATGATTTAAAGTATATGGGAAGTATGCATGGGTTATATAGAAATACTACTGCCATTTTATATAAGGGACTTGATTTTGGTATCCCAGGGGCAGGGTGGTGCTATCCTGGAAACAATCCCCTGAGAATACCATGGGCTGACTGTACTGTGAAACAAAATTAATTTTGACTTTGTTTTATGATTTTATTAAAGGGATATGTGCATTGATCCATCAATGAAACCAAATATTCGAAGACTGTCTGAAACTTACCTGGAACAACTTTTTGGATTGGATGATCAGCTGGTGATTATTAGTATCCAGGCATTCTCAGATATACACCTTAAGTGTCGATGGAAATTTGAAAATAGATGTTAGATCTTATGGGAGGTGTGAAGTTAGACTGTTTTTGGAATTGGGGTCACCCAGAAAAGTGAAGGAATGATACATTCACACACAACTACACACAGCCCCACTTGTAGTAACCTCCCCAATTTCCAAGAAGCATTTAGACAGGCATTTGTTCTTCCTCTTTCTGATAACATCTTTTCATTAAATTTCTGCCAGTCCCCTTCCTTCTTATCTCTTATGCATCTCTATAATGGAAAGTTTAAAGGAGGATGTTTTCTTTCCAATCTGCTGCTTTCTGTGTTCCACACCTGCTCCATTCTCTCTGCCATCTGCTCTCTCAGATCAGGATACAGGGAATCTTGCTCATGAAGACATGGTCAAAACATTAATGAGATCTAATTTAAAAGCCAGACCTGATTGTTACCAAAAGGAACAACCAGCTCCAGCAGCTGTTTTTGATCCTGTAAAGAGGGTAAGAAAGTAATTCAGGACATGGAGACTTTTAGAACAAAGACTGTATTTAAGAGAAGGTAAAATAGCAAAAGGCATGTGGGGAGAGAAATACCAACACGCATTTACTTGCGTGTGAAACCGTGTGTGATACGTCTCAATCCCATGGCTGTTGTCTGGGTAAGCCCAGGCAGGGCTTGGGAGTTGCTTGTGAAGTTGGGCACTGAAAAGCAGAATCAAAGCCATGTTCAAGGTGGGTGCTGAGAGCCAGGAACAATTTAAAGCATCCGTTTAGAAGGATGAGTGGAGAATGACACTGGATTCTAATCAGTGGTCTACAGCAGAGAACTAAATAGAGGGATGGGATAATTCTGCCAAGCATGGGATGATTTGGAAGCACCAGTACACTGGGCAGAACCCACATGTTGGATCTTAGTTGATCTGCATCATGGTGTGGGGGTGTTTTACTGGCTGTATTTTATCATCCACAGACCTTTGGTCTACTATGGAGTGCAGATATCTGCAAACTGCAGTTGTAGAAATGTTGAAAACTGTTGCTTTTTAAAAGATGGTAAAATTTCTGAAAACCACTGATCTAGAGGAGTAAACCTCATTGTTATTAATTTGACAGGGATCTTATAAAATATAAAATCAGGTTGTATCCAATATCTAGCTAAAAACTATAGGGAACCTTAAAAAAAAACAGTGCACAGAATTGCAATTAATTGCACAGAATAGCTATTTCAAATGCAAGTTTTATTAGAAAAGGGATTCTCAGGGATATTTCATGACATCGAAATCACAAAAGATAAAGATTTGGAAGCTGATCCAAACTTAGAAAGGAGTATTGCAATTTGCCAAGGCATAGAAAAGATGCCCACTTCACATCATAAGTCGGGAAAAATAGAAACGAGACAGGACTTTGCAAAAGCAGTTAGGAAACTATTTAAGATTATACATAAAAATGGTGTCCTAGTGTTGCTGCTTAGTTAGAGGGCTCAGTGTAGATTGAATCCAGGTTAATTCCTTTTTCCTTCACCCTCAGAGAAAAATGAAAAGTTGTGTTTTTTTAATTTTGAATTTTCAAAATTTATTTATTTATTTATTTATTTATTTTTTATTATTTTTTTTTTGTCTTTTTCCGTGTCCGGCAACGGATCGCAACCCTCAGTGTCGCCCCCGTACCGGACCGGGACCGGCAACAGGATCGCAACCCTCGGTGCTGCTCCCGCGCCTCGCTCAGCCAGTGAGCGGGAACCGGTCTGTATGTGGGATCCGAACCCTCGGCGGGAGCACCGCCGCGCTTCCCAAGCGGCGCACTATAGCAGTGCGCCACCGGGCCGGCCCCAAAATTTATTTTTTAATTGACACATAATAATTGTACATATTTGTGGAGTACAGAGTGATATTTTGATACAGTATATAATGCATAATGATCAAATCAGGGTAATTAGCATATCCATCACCTCAAAGATTTATCATCTCTTTGTGTTGGGAACATGCAAAATCCTCTCTTCTAGCAGCTATTTGAAAATATAGAATAAATTCACCCTACAGTGCTAGAGAACCCTAGAACTAGAATAAGAACTAGAAGAGTATGTATCTAGCTGTGTTTTTTCATTAACCAACCTCTGCCTATCTTGCTCCCTCCTACACTTATCCTCTAGTAACCACAGTTCTACTCTCTGAAAAGTTTTTTAACAAAGAAATAAAACACTTCAGTCCTCAATATTTCTTTTTTTTTTTTTTTTTTTTTTTTGTTTTTTTCCGTGTCTGGCAACGGATCCCAACCCTCAGTGTTGCCCCCGTACCGGACCGGGGACCGGCAACGGGATCGCAACCCTTGGTGTTGCTCCCGCGCCTCGCTCAGCCAGTGAGCGGGAACCGGTCTGTATGTGGGATCCGAACCCTCTGCGGGAGCACCGCCGCGCTTCCCAAGCGGCGCACTATCCAGTGCGCCACCCGGCCCGCCCCCAGCCCCCCCCATTTCTCCTATTTTTAAAAATA